GGGCAGTGTTCAATAACCAATAATCAGGGATTGCAGAAATCTGCTCAAGGGAGGGAATAGGGAAGGAAATCAGAAAAAGGTCCCTATATCAACACATCTCTGACATTTCCATTCTGCTTCTTCAGCCCTCTTCTTCTCCACAGCTACAATTTCTCCAGCCTCAGTTCAATAGATACCATAGCATATCTATTCCCTACTTTCCAGAGAAGATTGAGCTGAGGAGTCTTCCTCTCTGATGACCTCATAGCTTCTTGTCCCCTCTATCTTGGTTTCCAAGGTGGTCAGGACTCCAGGTTTTCACTTGAACTCCTGATCAATGCTCAGGAACCCACATGAGGCTTGATTCCAGGTATATGTCTCTGAGGATATACGCATCCTCACTAGAGCACAATTGGTCTGATAGAAGGGGAATTAGATATCAGGCCCTTACGCTACTGTGGTCTGTTGCCTGGTACAGTGAACAAACCATATAACAGTACCCTGCCACTTGCTCCTGCACATCACTTGATGAACACTCATGGTGTTAAGCACCTTCATGACATGCTCATTTAATCCTCCTAGTACCCTGGAAGGTCTTATCTTCCCATTTTATGGATGAGGAAGTTGATGTCCAGAGAGATCATGTGATTTGTTCATTGTAGCACAGAGTAAAGGTGAATGCAGAAGTGGGACACAGGTCCTCCAGCTGCCAGGTATGGACCTTCTCTCCCTCTAGCACAACGTTGTCTTGTCCTCCATCCCTCTCAGCCATACAGACAATTGCTTCTCTGCTTGTGTTGTTCCTCTCTCCCTGCACTAACATTCTGGGACTGTGACCCTCTTGATGTTTTCTTTCTTCTGTTCACAATCTCGGTCAGATTTGAGAGCACAGGAAAGAACACAACAAAGTGGAAATATAAAGAGTGGAGTTGTGCAAGGGACTTTCTGGGCAGAGGAAGAAGAGAAGGCAAAGAAGGCAGGCACTGCATTGGGAATGGAAAAGGCCGAGATGAGTGAGCTGAGAGAGAGAAGCACCCCCACACTGTGCCCAGATTGGAAAGGGGCACAGACAGGGCCCCCATTGTGTGGGCACAAAGGGGCCATATGCCTAGCAGCCCATGACAGTGTGTGCGTGTGTGTGTGCATGCACGTGCAGAAGGGTGTGGCTTAGACACACACACACACACACTCAAAACCCTGGAACCTTGCCTTCTGCTCTGTCACTGAGATGAAGTTTGCTGAGATAGAGGGCAGGGGAAGCAATTCTGACAAGGGGCCTATGGTACCTAGGGATGAAAGAGGACCATGGAAGGAAGAAATGAGGTGCTAGGGTGTCATTCACCTGGTCACCCAAGCCACCCCTCCCTCACCCTATTGGCCCTGAACCTGGATTTTGGAGCCATGTGAAATGAGGCCTGGAGAACTATTTTATTCTATTAATTCCTGTCCTTCCCACCTCATCTGGTAGCCTTGCAGCTCCCACTTTCCCCTCAGCTGAGGGACTGCCATCTTCCTGACCACTCCTCTTCTGATGCCTGTCCCCTGTTCCCTTCCCCCTCCCACTCTCAGCCTCCTTTCCTGTCCTGCCGAGCAGAGCAGCAGCGAGGCCAATTGATTATCTGAAGAAATTCGGAGCTAGCAGTAGAACAGCTGCAGCTGCCCCCTCACCACCCCCAGGCCCTGAGGGACCCCTAAGAGGAGGGGCCCCTAACCCCTCTGCTCTCCAGCCAGGAGGGAGGCAGGAGCTCAGAGCCCAGTGGCTGCTGAGCAAGGAAAAGCACAGGAGAGGATGATTTGGGTTCTAATCCCTAATCTGTCATCTAGGGTGAGTCATATCACCTTTTTGAAGAGGAGTTTACCTGCCAAAGGTGTTGGGCTCAATGATGCTGCACCCTTCTCACACTTGTCCTTCACAGTCTTCAGATTCTCCTTGATCTTTGTTCAACCCTCCCTCTTGCTGGGCCCTAGGCAGAGCACATTTCATTTAACACACTGGAGAAGGAAAGATATAAAATCTTTCCTGCATAGGAGCTCCTCCCCAAGTCTAACCCAAACCTCTCTTGCTACTAATGTAATTCTTTGCTCATAAAGATGAAAACCCTTTAAGGGATCAAAGAGTGTGTCAACATTTCCCTCCACTGTTTTTCCCTTCAGTCTTTTCATAAGACTTAATGTCTGATGTGGTTGATTCTCTGGCCCCTCTATGTAAGATTCCTCTTCCTTGAGGCTGGCCCTTCTGTTGCTGGACAGCTCTGGGTGTTTTGAAGTTTTTCTTGGAATTAAAATCTGCTTTCCTATAACTTCTACTCACAGACCTGATTCTGCCTCCTGGAGCCACACAGAGTGTCCATTTTTGTTCCTTCTTTCAGTATTCGAAAATAGTTTTCATATCACCCCTAAATCTGCTCTTAGCAAAACACACTCCTCCATTTTCCAACTCTGCTCTATGCAGTGGTCTCTTTTGCCTTCTTGAACATACAACTCTGTATCTTCTTTACTTTATCAATGTTCCTGTTTAGTAAGAACTTTTGTAGATGCCACAATGTACCTCCACCAAAAAAAACAATAAAAAATGTTCCTGTGCAAATATGGGATCCAAAAGAGTGCCACATACCGGATTGGGCCAATTCATGGAGGCAGTGTTGGGTTGGCAGCATAAGGCAAAAAGAATCAGAGTCTGACTATTAGCTGTGTGCCTAATTAACTACGTGACTTTGGGCAAGGCCCTTCCCCTCTCTGACTTTGGTTTCCATATTTATAAATTGATTTTAGAGTCCCCTCCAGGATACCTTTGATGTCTACACAGCACCCTTCTTCTTCATTTATTTATTTTGAGACAGGATCTTTCTATGTGGCCCATACTGGCCTTGAGCTTGCAATCCTCCTGCCTCAGCCTATTAAGTGCTGGGATTATAGGCATGCACCACGATGACCAGTTTGCTAAGCACTCTTTTTAATCCCTTTCCTAATTCTCCTCTCAGTCCCAGGCACTTCATCATATTCTCCCCAGTATTCTAACACTGGGAAACACAAGAACTGAAACTTTAAGGAATTTTGAGGTAGCATAGAGACAGTAAAGGAGAAAGCAATGTCTCCATTTCATGCCATGGCTTTTCCAGGCAGCATGGACTCACAGAAGCATGCTAAATTTGGGTCCCACTGGGACCTCATCTCCTTCCCAAGCCCATAGGGAGCAGGAACTGAAGCATGACATCCAAGAAGTCAGAAAGTGTCACTCAATAAGTGCCAAGACAGAGATATATGGGACTTTATGTTGGGAGATCTGGGACGTGTCTTACACCTGTCCCTGATCTCTTTTACCATGAAACTCCTTCTCTCTGTCTTTGTTTACCCACCACACTGAGCTCTCAGGATCCCTGTCCCTCAAAAAAAGAGGCTTCAAAGCCTAGGACCCTCAATGCCCACTCTACAATAACATGCAGGTCAGCTTCCCAACCCAATAAAGTGAGTCAGTCATATCTGGTGCTAGAACGAGGTCACTTTAATTTTTCTTTTTGTATGAAATTGGAACTGCAACAGGAGGGAATCACACACAAGACATACCCTTCTGGGGCTGCTTAGGGGTATTAGGAAGAAGCGAGAGTCCTGGGGAGGACTGAAGAGAGAAAGAGATGGATGGGATTGTCAGGGATTGGAGATAGTTGAGGGAGGACATCCAGAGCCCCAGAGCTGGGGCAGAGGCATATGCCAGAGGAAAGGAGGTCAGTACAGATGGATCTGAGGAAGGGATATGGGTGTGTCCAGAAAAAAGGGATTCCCCTCCCCACCCCATACGCACCTGGAATTGGAGGAGCAAGAAAAGGAAAGGAGTAACCAGGGAGGAAGCAAGAGAGACCCAGCTAGAGCTACTGGGAGCCCCTCTCACTCTCCCCCAAAGTGCACAACTCGGCAATAAATAGTAATATTTATAAATAAATAAATAAATAAATAGATGAATACATAAATAAATAAATACGTAAATAAATATCCTTGTAGAGCTAGGAGTTTGATGTGAGGGTGGAAGAAGCATAGAAATACAGGGAGTTCATTTCTTCCACAGGGGTTCTAAAGTCCCTTCTAAAGCCGGAGGAGGGAGCATGGTGGGGACATCTCTTCCTTTCTGATGGAGGAAAAAAAATTAAAAACAGGCCCTAGGGCCAGAACTGAGCATTTCCAGAGGGCAATAACAGGGTGCCCCCTCTCCCACCTACCATCCCCTCACCCACCACCCATCCTCACCCCCACCCCCGCGTCTGAGGGAGGCACCTGTGTGGGTTTGGACATTTTCAGGGTAAGCTGGTTTGGAGGAAGCAGCTGTGAGATCTGTCCTGCCCACGGCCTGGGCCTTCTGCAGGTACCCTGGGCTGTCTGCAGATGTCACCCCTTGTCCCAGAACTGAGGTTTTCCCTTTCTCTAGCGGCAAACAGGGAGGGAGAAAGTTGGGATGGTAGGGGTGAAGGGGACAGGAGGTGACTAAATAGCTCAGAAAGGGCAAGGCACTCACTACCAAGTAAGATCCGAGGTCTGTAGGTGCTAAGCCTCAGGGACAAGATGAACAAAAGAAAAGCAGAAAAAATGTTTTTATATGTAATTCTTGGCTACTGAGATTCCCTCTCACAGGAGCCACCCTACTTATTCACCCCCTCCATCAGGCATGGATAGACTGAGATCTAGGAGGAGGAAGCCCACTCCCCACCCTCACTCCGGCCTTCCTGGCTCCCGGTTCTGATGCCCATCCCCACAATGGTCAGAAGAAACTAGAACAGAGGGCAGGGAGTCCAGGTAGGGAGTCTAAAAATTTGGACATGGGGTTAGAAGCTGGCTAAAAACCCTTGAAGGAACCCATGAGAACAGCCTTAGGGTGCTTGGGTCAGTAAAAGAAAGTGGCCTTCAGGGCCAGCGGTGGGCACGTTGCGTGGGCCCTGGGTCTTTGGGCTGGGGAGGAGACAGCCATTCAAAGCAGCACACGGTAAGAAAAGGGTGTAGAGGCCCCAGGAGTTGGGGAGATTCCAGGCGGGAGTTCAGACGTCCAGCACGTGGTTCAGGTAGGAGATGTAGCAAATGGCGAGGCGCAGGATCTCAATCTTGGAGAGCTTCTTGTCGGGGGGCAGCGTGGGCAGCAGCTTGCGCAGCTCAGCGAAGGCCAGGTTGAAGGCTTCCACGCGGATGCGCTCCCGCGTGGCATGCGCAGTGCGGTACTTGGCAGTGGCGCGGCGCCGCCGCCGGCGCTCCTCTCGGCTCAGGTGCTGCAGATCTTTCCGGCCTTGATCTCCCAGCTCCGAGCCCCGCGCCTGGCCTCCTCCCGGACCCCCGGGCCCAGCTCCATCGGGGCCCGCCCCGCCCCCACAGTCGCTGAAGCTCGACTCGGTCTCCGAGTGGGTGGGAGGCAGGTCCAGCTCCATGGTGTCTGAGTTGAGCATCATGATGGAAGCCCCCTGCCCAGTGAGATCCGAATCTCTTCCCCACCCCTCCCTCTCAGAGCTTTCAAGCTGACTGCGGGAGGGGCAGGAAGGGCCTAGGTTGGTGGAGTCTGCCACTGAGCTCTGGAGATCAGAGCCACTTCAGGGTTCCATGGTCAGAGTTCCAGTATGGAACCTGAAAAAGAGAAAGGAAAACTGACAAGGGTAGAGGAAGGAAGGTGGACAGCTCGGAGTTGGGGAAGTGGGCTGGGAGGGGTAAGGAAATGGTGAGTGAGAGGAACAAGAACTGAATCTAAGGGGCAGGGCGGGGCAGGTGAGAGAGGCAGGCAGGTGGAGGACATAGTGGCAAAGCGTGGGAGGAAAAGCCAAGCCAGAGGGCTGGTGACTCACTCCTGTAATCCTAGCTACTCAGGAGGCAGAGATCAGGAGGACTGCGGTTCAAAGCCAGCCCGGGGAAATAGTTTTCAAGACTCTATCTCAAAAATAAGGAAAATAACAATACAAAAAAATGGCTGGGGGAGTGGCTCAGGTTGTGAAGAGACAGTCTAGCAAGTGTGAGTACCCAAGTTCAACCACCAGTACCAAAAAAAAAAGGGAGGAAAAATAGTAAGAAAGAAGGAAAAGCAATCCAGAAAGTGGCAGAAGGGAGAAGGAGAAATGATGGGAAAAACATACCAGGCAAGCTAACATTGAGCAAGAGGACTGAAAACCTAAAACTATCAAACTTCTAGAAGAAAACATAGGGGAAACACTTCGTGACATTGGACTTGGTGATGATTTCTTGGATATGATACCAAAAGTATAGGCAATAAAAGAAAGAAAGAAAAAAAAGACAAAGGGACTACATCCAACCTAACTTTAAACTTTATCATTAAAGGATACAATTAACAGAGTGAAAAAACAACCTATGGAATGAGAAAATGCTTGCAAATCATACATCTGATAAGGGGTTAATATCCAGAACATATAAAGAAGTCCTACAACTCAACAATAAAAATATCAAATAAAAATAAAAATGGGCAAAGGACTTGAATAGATATTTCTCCAAAAATGATATAGGCTGAACATCACTAATCACTAGAAATGCAAATCAAAACCACAATGAGATACCACTTCATGTCCACTAGGGATGGTGACTATAAAAATAAAAACACAAACCTAAAACAAAATCAGTGTTGGCAAGGACCTGGAGAAATGGGAACCTTGTGTCCTCTTGGTGGGATTTTAAAATGGTGCAACTGCTATGAAAAACAGTATGGATATTTGCCAAAAACCATATGATCCAGCACGACCATCTCTGGATATATATCCAAATAAAGTAGGGTCTCAAATATTTGCACACTCACGTTCACAGCAGCACTATACACAATATTCAAAAGGTAGTAGCAACTCGAATGAATAAACAAAATGTGACATATACATAGACTATTAATCAGCATTTAAAAGGAAGGAATTCCTGTCATATGTTGCAAAATAGATTGAACTTTGAAGACATTGTATAAGTGAAATAAGCCAGTCATAAAAGGACAAATACTATGACTGTATTTATATGAGAAGTCTAAAGTAGTCTAAGTCATAGAAACAAAGTAGAGTGGTGATTGCCAAGGGCTGGTGGGAGGGCCAAAGGGGAGTTGTTTAATGAGTATAGAGTTTCACATTTGCATGATGAAAAAGTTCTGGAGATCTGTTTCACAATAATGTGACAGTGAGTAACACTACTGAGCTACTATATGGCTAAAATAGTAAATTTTGTTATGTGAGGTTTTTTTTGTTTTTAAACTATAATCAGTAAATAAATTCAGGGAGAAGAAAGCATAACAAGACTGGAGTGACAGCTCCAAGAGAGGTTGGCTGTAACTCTAGCCCTTTCTCAGTAGTGAGGGAAGAATTGCAAGTCGTGGCCTTTGGATCCTTTCCCTTTCAAGGCTGGACTACATCCTTACTTCTTGGGGGTGGGGTGGGTAAACACACAGACTGGCCATTGTAGAATGAACTGGACATATGGAGCTCAGTACAGCTGCCCTAGTTCAGTCCCTCCCAGTCCCCCAAATCTCCCCCACAGGACCACTGTAGACATCAGGTCTGCTAGAATCGAGGAAAGGTATCTCCCTTCACCACAATCCCCCTGCCCGGGACCACCCACCTCCCAGGTCTTTCCTTAACATCTTCAGCCCTTGTTATTCCCTGGCCTTTTTTGGAGACTGCAAAGAAGATTGGGGAAAGAGAACATAATCAGCCTTCTACCCCCAAACTCACCCATAACCCAAGGTAAGTCAGACATAGCCTGCAGAGGTAGGAATAGACATCTTCTTGGGGTTACCTTTCTAGGGCTTGGCTAAGGTTTGTTTTTTTCCCAGGGCCAGCAGAGATCAGGGCAAGGCAGCAAGAACATGGCCTGGAAAAGGGTGGGGACAGAGCTTTGCTTGGGAGGAGTGTTGAAGTAACAGTGAGCCATTCACCATGAACTCAGCCTTACTTAACAGTCAGAAACAGAAGCACTGAAGCGCTTGACAGTCACTCCTTCACCTTTCTCCCCAGCCCTGGGTCTCCTGCCTGACAGACACTCTCATAGGGGCCAGGACTCCACCCACTCTCATGCCCAAGACTTATTTATCCCACCCTACCACATAAGAGACAGGTTCAAGTGAAGTAGATAGTTCCTAAGCTCTAGGGGGATGATCAGCATCTGATGGTGGGAAAGACAAGCACATACATGACCGAGACATAAAACGGAAGGTAGTTAATGCTGAAATTATGAACATTCTCCACACTCTGGGATGAAAGGAACAAGAGAGAGAGAATGGCAATAGTACCGATAATGTGGAAGCATCTCCCAGTACATGTTTAGTGCCTTCAACACTCCACTCTCAAGTTTAGGTTGAAACCAGGAATTCAGCTGTGGGGTTCCCAGCACATCTATCATAGCTACTTCTCTCTCTGCCTGTTCCCCAAGTCCCTTCATCCCCAGTCACTTGGCCATTCCCTCTCTTCCCCTCTCTATGCTCCCCATCTGGCCGTGGCCCATCCTTACCTGACTCCACTGTCCTCCCTATCTCTAGCCCTGGCAGCAGCTTCTATTTTTCCACCAAGTCCTCACCCCCAAACCCACTTATGGTCTCAAAGTTCCAGACTACAAGAAGGAGGGGAACAAGCATTCAGGGTAGGACTTCCCACTCTACTTCGACCAACCACAGCCCTATTGAGAATAGATCAGCACAAAAGAGTCAAAGAGAAGTGGGGAAGAAGGAGAGGCAGAGATGAAGAGAGACACAACAGCAAGAGAGATCTAGAGGGAGGCTCTGGGAGGTGGCTAAGCCAGAAATTGAGAGGGACACACCCACCCCTCCCAGTCCTTAGATCCCCCTTTACCTAGGAGGACCCTGTCCAAGCCGGCAGGACAGGGGGCAGCGTCGAAAGCCCCAGTCTTTTCTGGCTGCTTGGGGCTCATCCGTTCACAAAGTTAGTGATCAGCTTTCTAGAGCTTTGGGGGGTAGCTTGATGTGGCTGTAGAAGCTCCAGGGCAGATGAAAGAGGTACACATGGTGAAGAAATAGGGCTCAGGTAGAGAGGATGCACTTGGCCAGGTACTGGGGCCACCAGCACTCTCACACACTCACAGGCAGATACATACACACCTGAGCCGGCCTAGCCCTATGTATATATATGGAGATACACACACACCCCCAGCTCTTCATTGGCTGGCCCAGGCACCCCCCCCTCATCAATATTAAACAGCCAGGCCAGGCAGCCATTGGCAGAGGGATCTGGGAACCTCCCGGGAACTGGAGGTGGGGGCTGGCCCTGGAGGGGGCGGGGAGAGGGGGAGCAGGGACATCTGTTCTCCATGCATATTTCATAAGCAAGAAATGGAGAGCTGGGGAAGGGGTGGGGCTGGGGCGAGAGCCAGGGCAGGACCACAAATGAACCCCCTCAGTCTCCCAAACCAGAGGCAGTAGGGTAGAGGTTTCCCGTGAGCTGGATTTAAGTGTCATAGTCCCATTCTAAGTCTCATTCTGACTTTACAGCCCCTTCCCTCATGTCCCCCTTTTCCTGGGAAGAATGTTTTCCAAAGTACTAACAGGGAAACCCTGAAAAGAGCAAGTGACCAGCGTGAAAATACAGAAGATGATCTGAGAGCCCTTGCCCTAACTAAGCTCTCATCTTTTATAAAGCTGGTACCTACCGCTTGCCTTGCCAGCTTTGACTACTGGTCAGGCCCCCACCCTCTTTACCCTGGGACTCAGTTACCCCTACACTGTCTTAACCAGCCCTTGTCCTCCTACCCATCCTATCACCAGGCGGGAAGCAGGACAGATTCTGGACACAGATTTCTCAAGGAGTTTTTCTAGGCTGGCTAGCCCAATCTTACCCACTGGGAATTAGGAGCTCTGAAGAGGAAAGAGGTAAGGGATAAAAGGAGAGGAGAGGGGAGTGCCAAGAGAGGAAAAGTCAGGATTGGATGTACTTTTTTTAACTATATGTTTTATTATATATTTTGTCTAAATCCATTTTTATTTTTGCCATGCTGGAATTTGAACTCAGGCCTTCTGCTTCCTAAGCAGGCACTCTACTACTTGCACCATACCCCCAAGCCCTGAAAAGCCAGGATAGGAAGGACACTGGAAGGGAAGGGTAGGGCAGGCTTCAAATGAACAACAAGAAAAGTAGATACAACATTCTGTGCAAATGAGAACTGATGAAGTTTACATCAATAGTTCAGCTGCCTCCAGAGTGCATGGTAGTATGGGTGTGTCTACATGTGGGTGTGTTGCAGGAACAGGGAAGGCCGGGGCACTGGGGCCAAGGGAACCACAGAGAGGCAAAGGCTGGATTTCAGCACAGAAGTTCTCTCCCTACTCAGCTGTTGAATGTCTTTATTGAACCTTTGTGACTACCTAAAATGAACCATGGCTGGAGAGGACTCCAGAAACAGGACGGTATATTGAAAAAGGCTCTGTCAGTTGTCTGACCTTGGACAAGTAACAACCTCTTGAGCCTCAATGTTTTTTTCTGTAAAATGGGGTTAATTATAGCTGCTTCTTAGGCTGTCACGGAGATCAAGCGTGATGGTGCTTGCAATGAACCTTGACCTTAGTAGAAGCACAGACCTCCTTCAGGCTGTAGGAGGGATTTGCCACTTTCCTGTGGCTGATCAACTTTTTTCTGGGCTTTCTCCAGGGTGAGGCATTCCCCAAGGGGAGTCCCATAATTCCTCCCCAAGCTCCCTCTTCTCCCCCCACCCCCAGGCCTAAGAGGTGCCAACTCCCACCTGGGCAGGCCCAGACAGGTGCCCAGGCGCCAGCAGATGGGCTGGAGGGGAAAGGAGGCTTGAGGAGGAGGGCTGTGGGGTGGGGGGGGGCAGGGGATCAGGTGGCATCTCAGTTCTTGCATCATCATTGCCATGGTGCTGATTAAAAACCAATCTCCACCTAATGAGCCCCCAGCAACAACAATTCTACCTCCCCAACCCTCCTGCCCTCCAACCTATCCAAGAAATTGGGAGATGAGAGACTCAGAAGAGAGTGCCATGGGGGAGACAGAGATACAGAAAGAATGGGAGATGGAGATAGAGAGGGAGAGGGCGGAGATGGAAAGGGAGAGGGAAAGGGAGGCAGAGGGAGGGGGGAGGAGGGAGAGAGAGAGAGAGAGGAGATGGAGGAAGCAGAGGGGGAAATGATGAGGGAGACATGGGAAGACACTGAGACCCAGGGAGGGAAAAAAGATATCATTGGGTACCAGACACAGGAGAGACACAGAGAATTGGAAGATGTAGTCAGAGGGAGACAGAGACATAGGAGAAACAGAAAAAAAGAAAAAAGAGGTAGGGTGGGACAGAATTGCCAGGTTCTGCTAAGTCTTTGCAGAAGACTCAGAGATGCAAGATATGGGGGAGACAGAAAAATAGGGAAAGAGGAGGAGACGGTTAGGGAGACCCAAATGTGAGTAAACAGCTATTCAGGGATGAAGAGATGCTGATACTAGGAGATAGAATCTGGGGGAGGCCCCAAGACAGAAGGGAGACATATAGACATGAGAAAGCAGAGAGCAATTGTGAGGCAGTTGTAATAAACAGAAGGATGGACGTGAGGGATTGTTACCAACATGGGGACCCAAATCCTGAAGGGTAAGATGTTAAGGAAAACAGAAGCAGAACTTGTAGTGTCCAGGGAGCAGAAGGGAACTATGGGAGGTGGCAGGAGGAAGGGAGGAAGGAGCAAATTTCCTGTGGCTAGCCTTCTTCCTTGCATGCTGTTTGGCTCAGATACTTCAGCCCTGCAACCTCCATCCCTGAAGCACCCAGCTCTGCTGTCCCCAGTGGTAGAGGAGAGTAAGAGTGTGCTCTGGGGACCACTCCTCCTCCTCTGCATCTGTCATTCAAGGAACCTGGACTCTGGGTTCTTAGACTTCACTCAGAGAAGCAGTTTTTGCCCCTTAGGGGAGTAGCTAAAAAGAATATTCTCATATGGTTAAGGTGGAGCTAAAGGCATGGAATGGTAGAAAAAAACTCTACTATATCTATTGAACCTGGGATCAGTTAGACCTGGGTCCAAGTCCTGGTGACCTTGGACAAGTCACTTCAACTTGACTGAGTTTCTTTTGCCATCTGTGATATGAGGGTAATGTTCCTTCTCCACAGGGCTGTTGTGACATCCAGGTGAAATAATGCATGGAAAAATGCTGGATAAACTATAAAGTGCTCATCCCAATCACCTGAATTTGCATGGTGATTTAAAGGGGGCAAGAAGTTTCATACACACATGTATTTGAAACATTATGATTGAGGGAAGCTGGGGAGAAGAACTCTGAGATCAGTTCTAGCTGCCCACAGCCCCTAGGAGCAAGGAGAGCCCTGGGAGCTATTAGGGGTGGGAAGGGTGTCTTCACTGTAACAAGGGCAAGAGGGGCAGGACTTGAGGAAGGGGAGAATGATTATGTTTTTTGTATTTGTTGTTGTTATTTTGCATTTCATAGGCATTCACTTTTTCAGATTGTAGTACACAAATCCCTTTCTATCCCCAGGCAGCCTGTGAGGTAGATTGTTCAGTGGAGGGAGCAGGAGGGAGGGAGGGTTGGGGGGCAGTCCTTGAGGGTGGGGGAGGGCCTGGAGGAGCTGGGAAGCAGTGGGTTTGGCAGGAGAGGGGGTGACATATGTGGGGAGCCCTGGGGACCCAACCAGGCAAGCGGCTGGCAAGGAGAACAGACAGTGTTAACCCTTGCAGCACAACACTGCCTGACCCTTCTTAGGAGTGGCCCATGGCAGGGGTGTTGTTTTGGAAGAGATTGGTGATGTTTTGGGTCATGGGAACCAGACAGGCAGGAGGAGCCTGGGCAGGATTTGTTGTGTTTCCAGGAAGAGGCAGCAACATCTTGGTGCATCTTCACCTTCAACTTTCTCTCCTTGTCTGTTTCTGTATGGTCTCTGTCAGTCTGTCTTTCTGTCTCCACCTCTGTGTCTTTAGAAGGTGTCAGCAGGTCTCCACTCTGGCTAACTACACAATCTGTCACTCATTCTGCTGCCAGCCCAGCTGGAAGGCCCCCTTCTCAGCGCCCAACCCGAGCCCTCTGCCCCCAGCCCCCTAGGCCTTATTGCCTTTGTCTCCTAAGGCGGCCTCCCCTTTCTTCTTCCTCTCCACTCACCTCTCCTCAGCCCAGAGCCCATCTCCAATCTCATTACAGCCTGGGCCTCCAACCACTGTATCGCCCCCGCCCCCAGTCTCTTCTCTTCCCTCCCCCATCCATCTGTCTTCCCTGAAGCTCTCCTCTTTGTGTCCACCCATCTGTCACCACCAGCACTGGGCCTACTCCCCTCCTGGCCACGCCTGCATGGCCTTTCTCTCCGGCTGCTCAGTTCCCTCTCCCCTCCCCTTCCTTCTTTAGCCCTACTTCCTCAGTTTCCTTTCATGAGCTTGTTTTTTCTGGATACTCTCCCTACCTCACCTGTTTTTTCTTCTGCTCCTCTAAGTTGTGAATTGGGAGAGAGCGTGGAGGCTCCAGGGTCCTTTCCCCCAGTACCCCAACCACCCAGCCAGAGCAGAGGCTGGTAATGTTGGCTCACAGTTGCATCATCTCAGGCACATGGTTTCTCCCTGGACCCCCTGCAGATGACCCTCTGCTCCTGCTTCAGGTTTCCCTGCTTGGGCCCAGGGGCTACCACTGGCCTTCTTCATTACAGAAGTGTAGAGCTCCTATACCTTCTGACTTTGAATTGAGGAAGTAATAAAAATTCATCTAGAGGCCCATTGGGACTTTGAACTTCCAAGGGCTTCCTGCTTCCCCGGCTCAACTCCAGTTTTTTTTTTTTTTCTTTTTTTCTTTTTTGGAGGGGTGGGATGCTGAGTGTCAGGGTCTCTTTATATCATGTTATGCCACAGTTCCCCAAATCCTCTGTCCCTCCCTGGGCAGAGGGACAATGTATCCCTCAGGTGTCCCTCCCTGGAGTTGACCCTAGTGCTACCTTTGAGAATTCATGTATTGATCAGCCTTTGAAATGGCCTCTTCCCTGAGTTTAGGGAAAAGGGAGAAGGGAGAGGAGGCTAGGACTCCAGTTGTTTCTTCTCAGAATCAGACTGACAAGAGCCAGGATAGACTGCAAAGCAGCCCCTTGTTGAGGTACACACTTCACAAATGAGAACACTGGAACCCAGAGAAGGGAATGTCCCTTCCAAGTTCACACAGCATTTGGGCCAGACCAGAAAATGTAGTCCCAAGCTTTCCTCACAATGTGAAGCCCTTCTTTGACTGGCCTCTTGCCTGAAGCAAACATGCAGTTTTCAGAACTCAGAAGCTGCTAAGACACTGATCCTGCATGGAGCTTTATAGCCTTGCCTGGTCATTTTTCTTGTGTCATGTCCCTTCCTGACAATATAGACTCTGTATCTGGAGTCTTTTGCCCTTTAGTGATGCCAGGAGAGTGCCTTGCCTGTAGCCATGCTCAATAAGTGTTCATTACTGCTGTGGCTGTCAGTGCAGATATAAAACATGTTCTAGTCCTCTGCCTTTCATTTGCTGTGTGACCCTGGGCAAGCCACATTACTCCTCTGGGCTAGTTTTCCTCATCTATTAAATGAGTTAGACAGCAGGGAATGGTGGTACACACCTGTAATCCCAGCACTTAGGAGGCTTGTGAGTTCTAGGATGTCCTGTATACATTGAAAGACCCTGTCCTGGGGTGGGGTGGTCATCATTAAATGTTCTGCACAGAATGAGAGGAAGAAAAGGGGCAGTGTAAACTAGCAATGGGCAGTAGTAGGGAGGAAGCAAGCCTCTAGAAAGGAAAGGGGCTAGAAAATGGTACTAGATTAGGGGGAAGGGAAGCTAAGGAATTGAGAAGCATGTAGCTGTAAGATGCTGCCAGCTGGTCACATGTGGTCTTCAGCACACAAGAGATACCTGATGAGGTGCCAGCGCCATGATCCAGAGACAGAGGGTCATCTGGGTCGCTGTGCTCCTTTCATGGACCTTGACCTCTGCAAGAGCCAGAAAAGGTTTGGGTTTCTTGTTTTGGGGATGATGACTGAGGATGAGCTATGTTCTGGGTTTTTCTCTAGGCACAGGAGACTGGAGTATGGAAGGCTCTATAGCTTATCCCCTTCTTTCTTACCCACACTGGTCCCTTGATTCAGTCCAAGCCTCTGCTTTCCCATTCAGCCCCATCCCTGGTACTTAGCCATGTCCCCGCTTCCTGAAGCTGCCAGCAGGATGAGAGTTTACTGCTTTGTCCGCTGGGAGACCTGTTGGCCGAGGGAGACATGGAGCCCGCCCAGGCGACAGTGGCAGCTGTGCTTGACTCCCGCCAGCACAGCACACAGCTTCTCCAGCTCCAACGGGGGCTAGTGAGAGCAGCAGGGTATATTTCCTATCTCAGAACTCCAAACATGCCCCCTCAAGGGAGCTTGGAGAGAAACCTGGGGAAAAATCACCTCCTCTCAGCAGGATTTGAAAAGGTAAATAGCCCAGCCAGGGAGCTAAGAGGAGTGCTTAGACCTGTGAAAATGGCCAGTTCTCTATGGTTGCTGGTCTTCAGGCATGTCAGAAAGAGACTCTTGGCCAGCATCGAAGAGACATGCTGGGCTTAGGCTTCTACCCTGCTGCTTCTCTTTCTCTCTCAGCTGACTCAGCTGCTGCCCACAACCATTTAGCAGTTCTCTGTACTCCAGAAAACCTAGGGAATTAGTGTCTCTTCACAGAGCTATGGTTTTCCTTCTGAGACAGATCCAAACCACTCTTAGTCTACAAAACACCCACCATCAACAGACAACCTAAACTTCTTAGCATGCCACCCAAGAACATTCTGGTATACTCCTCATCATGGCCCAGGCAACTTACCATTTCCCAAATATGACTTGTGCCTTTGGTTGTTCTTCCATACCTGGTGAACTCTTAAGTTGTTACTCAAATGTTACCTTCACTGCTCTCAATTGTACCATGTGCTACTGGAGTACTCTGGATATACTGGATTACACCTAGTAGTAAGTCTACATCTTCCCTCACCCCAACTACTCAAGGGAAGGGTTGTATTTGTTTCGTCTCTGTACCCCAGTCAGTGTCTCAAAGTGAATAAAGAAATATCTGTCCATTATAAAGTGAGAAGAAACTATGCTAACATTGCTCTTAAAGGGGGTGCTCCAGGTGTTCTACACTGGGCCCTTCTATTAGGACTTCAACTGTGTTTGAAAGGGCCTTACTTCTGGTGTCCTCTGCAGACCAAGAAGATAGTGTGCAAGGTAACAATTTAATGGACTTCAGATTAGAAGTCACTGAACATGGTGGTCTGGGAAGAATAACAAGAGTGCAAGTCATGTGGGGATAATTTTAATGAAACTCACTATTTATATATTTACAAAAAAGGGGGGACCCAACAAAAATAGATATTACAGCTTAATAAAAAGTACAACAGAGCACTGTGGGCTAGAGGTGGGATACCCACCCGGCAGCATGCCCATCCTAATGTGCCATCTGAGGACTCGGAGAAAGGACAGTGGGAAGCAGACAGCAGGCTCAGCCCAGAGAACCTGTTCTTCTCCTCATGGGTTCACTGTAGTAAGATCCTGACGCTCAACCCTTCATGTCCTTCATCCTGGTCCAGTAGGTGATTGGGTATGGGGGTGGGGGTTGGGTGACAGTGGGAGCAGAGGGGGTACAGGGCAGGGTGAAAATGAAGAGGAATTCTGAGGAAGGGCAAACAAGGGTGGACAACTCGGGAGTGAAAAGGAGCAGGAAGCTTCTATCATAATCCCGGAAACTTGCAGTGGTAGGGAAGGAGGAAGAAATGGGGAAGAGGGAGCTGAGCTGGGGAGGCAATCTGTTTACCTCTCCCTGTCTCAGACAGTTCTACTCCTTTACACTAATCCCAGTCTGAGACAGGCCCAGAAAGATTCCAGTGACAAATTAGCAGTCTGATCCCAGTAGGACAACTGCTCCAGGAAGTGAAATACAGAGCTGGCAGGGAGAGATGGAGTCCTCCTCAGTAAGACACAGCTCCTGGCTCTCGGGGAGTGATGAAAAGGACATCAGCTTTGGCGTTGATGCAGTAGGTAACGATGAGAGAGAAGACCAGGATGCCGAAGCCCACCATCAGGGTGATAAACTGCGGGGGGGATGGGGAAGGGGAAGGGTGTGAGCAGGGAAGGAGAGAGGGTCTCAGAACTCACTGCAGTTTTGGAAAATTAGAGTCAGGAATTAGGACAGCAGAATTCTGGTGCTGGCTTCAAGCACCAAGTATGGAATAATCATGGGCAACATCTTCCCAATCTGCAGACTTAACTTTCCTCATTTGAAAAGACAAGTATCTGTTCTTGCTTCAATCTTGTATCACTTAGATTTTAAGTATCTTGAAGGTAGGACCCATGGCTCTGACTCTCTTGTGGTGTCTACATTACTGACTTTCTTATGACAGGGGCTCAATGAACATTAGATTGATTTATCCCAGCTGAGCCAGATGGGGAACGTCAGGAAGAGTAGGAATGACCTCCTGGGATTCACAGGCTCTCCAAAATGAATATGCACTCAGACTACCGGTGAAGAAAAGCCTCCCAATGGGATTCCTAGGGACAGATATGCAGTAGGTTTTGCTGCAAATCTTCAGCAAATGGAAGGTAGAAGGGGGTATGAGAAAAGAGACAATAGAAAGGAGTCAAATAGATCTCTGCCACCTCTTCTCTGGCCCCATCTCACCTCAAGCTCTTTGCTGGCAATTAGGAATATCCGGGCACGGATATCTTTCCAGCGGCTCTCAGTCCATGTAGAATATTCAGTGGAGCTCCACTGACTCAGTTCGAAGGCAGGAGACAAGGCCCTGGCCAGTCGTGCTGTAGAACGCACGCACCGTGGAAGCCGGTCTGTCTCGTTGGAATTCAAAGGGCCCTGCACCCATGAGTACTCATACAGCTGCACAGGAAGATGGGCCACAACACAGGGCTGAGGTGACCCTCTTCTCACTTGCTCCTTATACTCCTATCTGTATCACGCTTGAACCAAATGTGTTAACTGGCTGCCATCCCTTTATGATGTAGGTGGTCCAGTTTCACCCAGGCTACTGCTTCTTCAACACTTAAGTTCACAGGGCTGCATCCCTCCACCTCTCCATCCCAATCCCCCAGGTCCATGTGGGCCTAGGCGATCCTCTGATTTTCCCAAAAGAAAGAGGCCCTGGGGCACCTCCGACACCCACCAACACTCACATCCTTGTTTTCATTTGGGACTTTACTTGGATCCTGGCACTGCTCTCGGGTGAGGTCGATCACCTTGCCAGTCAAATTTGCCAAGGCATACTGCACAACATAAGTGGTGTTGGTGGGGCTGGAGACGGCGATGTAATGTTGAAGAGGCCCATCGCCTGATTGCAGGCCAGAAGAAAGGGATGGGGATAGGCAGAAACAGGAAGAGCCCAAGATTGGCAGAAGCCAGAAAAGAGAAGTTTCAGAGAACAGGATTAAACAAACATGAGGAGAAGGAAAATAGGGGAAAGAAAACAGAGAGGAAAAAGAGAAAAAAAAAAAAAGAGTGAAGATTAAACCAAAATGATGTCTCGTTTTTATATATTTCCTCAGCTAAGGGCTGCCCTTCTCATACTAGATGCTTACCCAAGTAGGACCTTAGGTCCTGTCTGAGAATAGACTGGAACCATGAGTTGTTGGCTCTAACAAGGAAACCATAGAGCAGGCGAGTAACCTAGGATTAGAAAAGAGAGAAGAAAAAATGTTGTGATTTGCAACAAGGCTACTAGGGAAAGAATTAGTGGAGATCCAGTTATGGGGTAGGAGCCAGACAACACTTGGGAGACAGTGGCTGGCTCATACGGATGCAGATGAGGGCCACCCAAGAGCTGTCTGGGGCATCATCATTGCTGGCATGAAGAGGCACACTGAATTCCAAAGTTTAGGAAGTAAGGCAAAGGACATAGAGGATAGGGGCAGTCTTCTGAGTAAACAAGACAGAAAGGACTGGAAGCCCATCTATTCTTACTGTGTGGGGATCAGCCTGAACTGTGTGGTTGAAGTTGGTTCCTCCTGCAAGCTCGTATAGTGCACGTCCCAACACTGTGGCCACATCCGCCAGGGCCTGTGGTAGGTGAGGAGAGGGGCTAAATTGCTCATCTCTTCTTTCTTCAGTTGCTTCATTCTAACCATTTTCACTGTTCCCCATGTTCCCACTCTGCCTGGGTCAGTGTTACCTTGGCAGTGTCTGTCACAAAGTCCAGGTCCTCTTCAGGGCTCAGCCATTCAGGATAGCTCACATTAATGTTTTCAGCAGTGTCGTAAATGCTCTGGTAATAGCTGCCAGGAAAGTCAGCATGAGCCATGGCTACACTCAGCCAGGGCTTTGGCCTTTTCCTACTCAAATGCCCCTTGGCATCTTATTTTTCATCATCCAGGAGAAGGCAGAGAGAATGGGGAGGTAGGAGAAGGAGAGGGGTGTCTAGAGAAATATAGACTAGCAGGCATCAGTGGTCATGCCTGTAGTCCTAGCTAGTTGAGAGGCTGAGATCAGGAAGATAGTTCAAGATCCCATCCCTAAAATAACCAGAGCAAAATGGATGGGAAGTTTGGCTCAAGCAGTAGAGCATCTGCTTTACAAACATGAAGCCCTCAATTCAAACCCCAGTCCCACAAAAAAAAAGAAAGAAGAAAGAAATCACCTGATGGACAAGGCAGAAAAGATAAATAAGCTTTAATCTCAAGAGACTCTTCTAATCATTAGGGCTGGAGACATAGGAGGATGGCTAAGAGGCTTTTCAGAGAACTGCCACACACAATCACAGCAGCTGTGTAAGTGTTCCAACCAACATTTATATTGACAGAGGCTGGGAGTAGGGGGGAATAGCAGGTCCTAGGAGCAGGCATGCTCATAGATATAAATGAATACACTGGATCAAATCACCGTGGTGGTCCTTGGGGAGCTCCCAGCCTTTACTATGACTAAAGCCTTTCCCCACACAGTCGAATCAGTCACATAATCGAGTCCAAAACACTTTCAAATGACGAACCATTCTTCACCCCAGAGTAACAAAAAGAAAAGCTTTAGAGGAGAGCTGATCCTAAGACTAGAATTACTCCCCTAAGTGAATGAGAAGGGAGTCTTGGCTAGGATTGGAGAACCAGAGCTTAAGAATTTTCACTCAGTACTCATTTGGCTCCAGAGAGACAGGGGAGGTAGCAATCCAGCCTGAGAAGTTCCTGTTATCCCAGGCTTCAAGTTAGGAGCAGCTTAACGGTACCTAGAAAAGAGGTAACTACAGCACCTCATTTCTTATCTCTGGAGCTTTCTCATCACACTGAACCATGTGTACTTATGCATGGCAAGAACATATTACATTTCACACAACAAGTACTGTGTGGCTCCCTGGGTGGGCCCCAGAGAGGGGCCATTCTCATTTTCCAGCCAAAGAACCCCTCATCCTTCCCATGCTCTGGTTTGAGATGACGCCCTCTGCTGGCAGCCCTGGGAAACTCATATCCCAGGAGAACCTGCAAGAAGCTGAACCCTAGAAGATGATTGTTTTAACGAAGAGGTGAGGTTGAGCAAGTCAATTAGGTGGTTAGGCCTGATGTGAACAGGCTACTGAGCAAAAAAGCCACGCTACCTGGAGGTTTTCCAGAAGTGGGAGGTGGGGAGAAGGAGAGTGAACTTCCTCCCAGATTGCAAATAGACTGCATTTGAGAATGTAGAGCCAGGTGACTCTTACCGGTTATTGAAGGAACCAAAGTGGTCAGCCAGAACGACACCAGAGATGTTTCGAGCTCGGAGAAATCGCTGCAGAGAAGATGGTGGGAGGGCCCAGGACTGATTCAGTCTCTTGAGGACAACAGTAGGGACACCAACACCACTCCTCTCCAGTGTGGCTAGGAGGTCTTCCACCTGAGATGGAGAGAAAGGCTGACTGCTGGGAGGTGGGGTATAAGAAGCAGGATGGCTCTCCTAGGCCTGCTGCATTTCAGGTTTCCTGCCTGGGGAGTTTCCTGTCTTACACTGTTTTAGATCTATATTCTTTGGAACTTTTGGGACCAAGATCTGAATTTGTTATAGCACCCATCATTCTTTTTACAGTTAGGAAATTGGAGCTCTGTCCTCAGGACTCTGACTTGTCTTCAGTGAATGTTTCACTAATTTGTTGTGAATTGGAGGGAGCAAATAACAATGAAAACCCCTATGTCAAATGCCAAACAGATAACCAATTCTGTAAGTGCTATAGGAGTCCTAAGAAGGGATGACAATAAAGGCTTGAGAGGCAGGAAGAGGAGGATCACATGGAGAAAAGCAGGTCTAACACTGCACGTGGTATGGAGGGTCTTGAAAAAGCAGTGAGGAAAGTGGAGGGCAATTTGAGTTGGGAGTCTGACACAACCAGGATTCCAACAGGGAAGCCTTGATAACTGGATCCATGGGCAACAAGGAGAGGTCCTTATGGGTCAGGCATCAAAAGATAAGAGAGCTACCCATTCAAGGGACCCAACAGAATATCACTGAGCTCATGATTTTTCCTAGCAAGACATATTAGCTGTAGTATTCATCCTTTAGTCAATATACAATCTAATCCTTTCTCTTATCTGTTGAGTTACCTGGTTCTGTACAGACTCATTTTTCTGAGACATGGGATCTGTGTACATCCAGAGATCTAGTGAAGTTCTTAAGGCCACCTGTGAAGGATGAAGAAGCAACATTTATAGTTTGTTTCCTGTTGTGGTCCATGCCTGGGGGAAAGGAATCAAGGGAAAAGTTGGTGGTGTTGGCATCAAGGGCAAAAGAACAACAGAGGAGGAAGCTTAAATTGAAGGAAGTGGGTGGAGGACACAAACTGCACACCTGTCCTAGCTCCACGAATGAGTCAATGTTCTCTAACCGCACAGGAAACTTGCCCTTTTCCATATCGTAGACCATTCTCGAGCTGCCAATGTAGTCGAAAGTTTCCTGAGGGGTGAAGATAGGAGGGAAAAGGGACAGAAATTCTAAAGGATTAGGACAGTCTCAAGGAAGCCAGATCATCAAAGCTGTAGGCAAGAATACTACTGTCTCAGGTCATCTGAACTGCTGGTCACATTATAGTCATGTGACTTCCTTTCCTCTGCCCTCCACCTCCCAGTTGTGACTATTCCTCACACATATGTATCACAGGACTTCTTGAGCCTAGAAATGGAGAAAGCAGCCTCAGTAAAAGGCCCAAGGCAAACATCAGCTATTATGTGTCTATGTCTTGACTCTCCCCTACCTCTATCAGCTCAGTCTTTGTTGCTACTCCCTTATGCCAGGGCCAGGCAGTGATACCAGCAGGGAGAGGCAGTATCTCTCAGGTAGCAGTAAAGGGATTCAGACAATGAAAACAAAAGGAGGCCTCAAATAGATCTTGTCAGTAGGAAAGAGAGGATGTTGGTAACACACCAATTCAGGGCATAGAAGCTTCCTAAAATAGAGGGCTCCAAAGGAGAAACACATATGGACACACAGAAAATCTCTACTGATTAACAACTAAGGCCAAGTGCTTAGGTCTTCCCCAATAATAACCATTCCAACCTTTATCATTCCGCTTTTCCTGGTCATTCTGCTCTAGGCAAAGAACCCTTACCCCTTGGAAGAAGACAAACATGACATTGCGGGGCAGGGTGGATACATCAGGTGCCTTGTGCAAAGCTTCAGCTGCAGCCAGCAGGGTGATGAAGGAGGCAACTGCACTTTCAGCCCCTGGGGCCACATTCCAGAAAAGGAACGGCTGTCCAGCTGGGTAAAACAGAAGACACGGCTGGAGAGGCACACTTTAAAACTGCAAATTAGGATCAGTCCCAAAGTTCCCTTGCCTGCTCCAGCCAAGAGAATATATGTATGTATGTTGGGGAAATGTTGGGATAGAACCCAGGAGTTCCACAGTTCAGATCTCTCTCCATTTAAAGCTCTCCAGTGTATTAACTCTGAAATTTGATATGCTCAAGAGAGGCCTGCCAGCCTTCTGTGCCAACCCTGCCCATGCTGATCAGGGGCAACACTCACCCGGGTAGCAGCAACTATAACCCTGTCATCAGGCTCTAATGTTCCAGATGTATTGACAGGTTTAAGCATGCTCCATACATTGTAGTCAGATAGGGGGTCACAGACGATTTCTGAGCAGGACACAAACAACAAGAGATCAAGACTAAGGGAGAGGAAAGCTTGTGAGACCTCTCAGAGTCAATGCCCCATGGACTCTGAGGGTCATTTTCTCTACCTCCAACTGTCCCAAGTTGGGCACAAGCTGCCTAAATTTAGGTCAGAATTTTTGCTGCTTCTCCCATCCAGTGCTTGCTTTCTGTGCCCGCTTCTTCCCTACTGTGGTCTTACCAACCTTCCTAGCCTGGTCCCCCTGCCCTAATAGCAGTCCATCTAATATGGCTTGTATCTCCCCTACCTGGGTTGATGCTGAAGGTGCTCTGGATGAAGCTACGCCGCATGCAGGTAGCGGTGCTGATGACAGCATGCATGTGTGAGAAGAGCTGCATAGCACACAGTGGGAAGGTTGGTGCTGAACCATTCAGACTCAGGTTGTGATCTTGATAGCACTAGAAAGGGAGATGGACCCCAATAAGACAGCCAGCTGTGGAGTTCCTCTCTTCTCAGAAAGAGGAAGACCCAGCTCCATCCTTAAGACATTCCCTTTTGGGACACATTTGTCCCTGAGCTACAGGTATAGGATCTATAAGGTCAAAGAGAAAAAGTACTTAATAGGTACAGAGGGACATGGACTCAGTGGTGTGGTTGGAGCAGATGAACTTATCTCATCCCAAATGGCCTTGGCCAAGCTTCAGTTACTTTTGTTTGTTTTTTGAGATAGGGTCTTGCTATCTAGCCCAGGCTAACCCCAAATGCATGATCCTCTTGCCTTAACTTCCCAAGTGCTGAGATTACAGATGTGTGCCACCATACCTGGCTTCAGCCACTGTTCTTAAAATGTGGTGAGATTTAAGGAACATTGGATAGAGATCAAACATAAGATTCAAGGCAGCTTGGACATCAACTCATGTTGTAACTCTGGACAAATCTTTTAACTGCTCTTAGTGTTAAAGTGAAGCTAGAGTAGAATTGGGACATATCAGAGCTAAAAAGAACCTCAGAAATTCCTAAGCTGAAATTTTCAATTACTAGTCCAATGCTCTTTTTATCTGGTTCTTTATCTTGGCTAACCACCTTGTTTACATTCTTTTTTCAAACATTCTTTATATTTTCTTTCAGTCTAAAAGTCTTTAATGCTGTGGTATCAGGCAGGAAAGAAAGAACTGGTAGAGGGGAATGTGAGGAAAATAAATTTATTGGTTCTTTTTCTGAGGAACTGCTTTTCAAAATGTGCACAAGTAGAACAAGCCTTCCTCCAAACAGGAGTAAAGAGTGAAAAATAATCCTCTTTCTCATCAAAATTGCTAGGAGCTGGCAGAATCAGTACCTGCTTAATGACCTTAGTTTCATTTTCATCTTCAAGAAGAAAGATGGGGAAACTAAAGTCTTCATAAGCCAAGCCATTGCCCACAGAGTTCCACAGTGTTTCTTTGCAATGAGCAAACTCTGACCCGTAGGAGTTGGAATAAACACCTGAAGGGAAGAAGGGGATGAGGGCAGACAGGTTATGAGGGCACCAAGCACTCAGAGACAAGGTAAAGGAGAAAAATAAGGACATCATAGAGTTGGGAGTAGGAATTCAAAAAGAGTCAGTGACTCAAAGAAGTAAGCATGAGTCTATCACCAGCCACACTAAAATAGAGACACTGATTATCGGAGAATCTTAGGCTGGCAGATTAGGGATCTGAGCATGTGAGAAGAAGGGATGATGGAAGGGAATAGGAAGAAAGGGAAGGAGGAGAACGAAGGAATGAAAAGTCAAAAGAAACCCTATCTTCTGTTTGGGAGTCAGTTGCTTGCAATGCATATAGACACAGACAGATACATACCTCCCCCCCCCCGCCATAAAGACTTAAGACTGAAGCAACGAGCTTTGCATGATAGCAGGCTCTTCTGATCCTTAGGGGCTCTTACCAAACCCATCATTTGGACACTGCACACTAGGAGAGAAGCCTAAGGTGGAATTGGACTTATCCAAAGTCACTGCAAGACCAGCAATACGGCTGGTTCTTCCTTTCAGCTTTTCCATTATTTCCCTGGAATAGAGGAAATGCCATGAAAGAAGACAGGAAGGTATCAGATAGCTCCATACCCTGCCCCCTCAGAATGGAAACAAATGCACAGTTAAAGGAATTGGCACTATTAACTCACTTCTTCCCTTTTCGTCTCTAACTTCTGATTCTGGACTACGGTCCAATCTGAGTTCAGGGCTTAAATTTCATCTATCTTGTCCCTGGTGGGACCAAGACCTTGGTCACCTCTCCTCCTTCCTTGGGATCCTTACTAAACTCTACTTTTAAGGTTACCAAGATGATTCCCTTTGATAGTACTTAGACCAACTGTGCCCCCTTCCCTCTCCTGACCAGAGCAGGGCAGCAAAGGGAAGCTTCCACTCACAAATGTGAGGACTATTCACCAAATCTTTCTTTGTAAACATATTCCCAGGAGGCACATCCAGTTCTTACCTGTTAAAGAGCTTCCCCTCCAGCAGAACCATGTAAGGGGGGTTGGGGCCATCTGTCAAGACCCACTGCAGGTCTTCTGTTTTCTCTACTACGTGGATAACTCCTGTGTCCCCACTAATTGAAGCTGCCAGGACAGAATGGGTCAAAATAAAGTTCCCACAGGTAACAATCTGAGTTTGCCTCACTAATTCTACAGATCTTTTATCCTTAATGAGGTTGCAATACATTTGGGTGATTATAGCCCTCACTGGACTTGAACTGAAGAACTGGAGTTCCCCAGCTCCCTCTGAAAGAAGAAAAGGAAGACAAAAGAGCCCAAGGGAACTCATTTGAGACCTTATTCACTAAATACCTTCATTTAGTCTTCTTTTTTTTGCCCAATTTCAACAACTTTATTTAACTATACATACAAAATTCTAGAACAGTAGACATTCACATTTCTAAACCTATATTTTGCCTAGCAAATGACAAAGTCTAGAGATCTAGCTTGGACTTGTAGCTTTGACTCTTCTTTTGTGAAAACAGATTTCCTTGGCCTTAGTAGCCTTCTTGGATCATCATTTGTTTGCCTTATTTAGGAATGACTTTACTTGCACCTGGCCAGTTCTGGTGAGATTAATCAAGAATTCTGAGTTCTCTAGAACAGAGGTTCCCAACTAGAAAGTTTGGAATGGGTTACAGATGTGCTGATAATGATTGCCTTTCTTCCTGGGATCTAAGATTTCTAACGTCCCCTGGTTACCTACAGCCAGGAGCAGACTCACCATTTACCCTAGGATGCCCTATATGTAACACCCATTTCTATTTGTACTAGGATGCCACACAAATAACATTTCTATACATCTCATTATATGATAAAGATTGGGAAGCACTGCTCTAGAGCAGTACAGAATGTCTAGAATTCTACATAACTCAAGGCACTTTGGAAATATCCCTCAAGATCCCAGGGATCTACGTAGAAATATTCTAGGGTCTCCCTGTCAGTCTTTTCCCCATTGATAACTGGATGTGTTACTCATAAATTATCTTAAAGCAGTAGTTCTCAAAATCACTTTGGAGTTTTTCTTTCTTTTCTTTTCTTTCTTCTTTTTTTTTTTTTTTGTGCTGGGGATGGAATTCAGGGCCTCTTGCATGCTAAAAATGTGCTCTACCAATGAGCTACATACCCAACCCCCAGCGATTTTAAAAATACTGATACTTGGGTCTTTCCTCAGAGCTTCCAAATTAAAATCACTAAAAGTAGGAGCCCAGATACATGTATTTATAAAACACACCACATGTAGTGCTTTATTATACACAGCTAGGCATGAGAACTATGCTTCTAGACCAAGGCACTGAAACACTAGTAGGATACAAAAACCATAAGTACTTCCCAATTGCTTGCAAGTAAGATTTTTCTACCATGGGATCTGATAAAATCTAGGTATCAAACCAGGACACCCAACATTTAACTATGGCTTATATATAGTAAACACTGAACGAGTTATTGTTAGAGGTGATAGTAATAAAATATGGAGAATATCAGAGTCTAGAACAACTTAAGATAAAGATACCAATGGAAGTTCTAAGTAAAACAACAAACAACAGCCTGTGATATGGCATTTAAAATACAGGAAAAGAGAAAGCTAGTGTGGTAAATAAATTTTTAAAAATAGGTAACTTCAGCTCCAGGGAGGACAGGAAGAGAACAAGCTATGATAATGAACTAAAGAAACCTGGACTCTAAATCTGGGTTACAACTGGTGATTACGTAGTTTCAAGCAACTTGCTTACATTCTCTGCGAGGAACAGCTTTTCTACCCTTACTCATAGGGTGGGAAGGTAAAAAAGAAACTTATATACAGCTTCTTTTGAGCACTTTAAAGATCAATAGAAGTAGATCACTATAATTAGAAAATCAAATCTACATCTCACTTTTTCTCCTTAGTTTTATTACCTTAGCAATCCTAATTAAAGAGAGTAGTCTGTTCAGAATGGACAGATAAGATGAAGTAAGACTTAGAAATAAGTAGGTTGAAAAGAAAACATGATCTTAATGAGGAAGTGGCCAGAGTCCAACCCCTCCCCTCTTGTATAGGCACTTGGCGTTATCTATAGAGGCTACTGCTTTGGTTTCCACAGGGCTGCTTGAAGAACATGCAGCAGGATGACTCATTTCCAAAGGGGATTTTTTTTTTGTGGTACTGGGGTTTGAATTCAGACTTCATGATTATAAAGCAGGCACTCTACCATTTAAGCCACACCTCTAGTCCATTTTGCTCTGGTTATTTTGGAGATGGGGGTCTTGAAAACTATTTGGCCAGCCTGGCTTTGAACCTCGATCCTCTCAATCTTAGCCTCCCAAGTAGCTAGTACTACAGGTATGAGCCACTGGTGCCCAGCTCCAAGAGGATTTTTTAGAACCCAACGCCTAGAGGCTGGGGTCCTGGCCTTTTGCACTTACAGTGAGGTCCAGCAGTCTGATCTCTGCCCATTCTGGACCTGGTTTTCTTTCATCCACAAACCCAGTTTAGAAACTAGATCCAACAAAAACTTTGAGATTCTTTATTTGAGGCTGTTTGGAACTGACCAACCTATTCTGAGTGTTTCCTATAGTTAGAGACACGGGGCAATTAACACACACAGCATAGCTCAAGGAAGGACAGACAGAAAAGTATTTACTATCTCCCTGAGCAAATTCCTTACTTCCCAGTAACCCAGTTTCCTCTTACTAAGTCAGAAGGTTCCAGGCAATAACCAGTACTGCTGAGACCATGTCATTCATTCAACATCATCAATAAACTTCTATTAAAATATAGTTTGGGTGCTTGTGTGTTGCTTAGTGGGAGTGAGCACATGCTTGCACCCTCTTGATCAAGAGAAAATTGCCTTGTCAAGAAAAAAAAAAAATATATATATAGTTTGAAGCTGGATGTGGTAGTTTGTACCTGTAATCTCAGCACTTGGGAGGCTGAAATAGGAGGATCACAGGTTTGAGACCAGCTAGAGCTACATAGTAAGACCCTATCTCAAGAAACCAAAAAGGATAGCTCAACTTTTAGTTTTGTGCCAAACTATTTCAAGCATTATTACAGGAATAAACTGAAATTCAGATAATTAATTTGATGATGAAGAAGCCATGAACAGACCCTAAATTTCCTGCTTTCCTGCAAAATTGTATTCCAACAAAGCCACTGTCCACGGAAAATCAAAATCTGAAGATAATAGCTTAAGTAGCAGATGAACTGGCATTCGGCCTTCAGATCACAACTTTTTTTCCCTTTGATTTTTATAGTTTTTTAGAAACATAGTATAATGGCACTTTGTTTTGGAACACATTTACAAAGCATAAAGATACATCCAAATGGTTCACTCATTCCTCTTACAACTATTTAGCATTTCCAGTGCTACTTGAGAGGCTGAGATCAGGAGGCTCTCGGTTTGAGGCCAACCTGGGCAAATAGTTCATGAGACTCCCCCCATCTCCAAAATAACCAGAACAAAGTGGACTGGAGGTGTGGTTCAAGTGGTAGAGTGCCTGCACTTGAGTTCAAAACTCAGTCCCACCAAAAAAAAAAAAAAAAAAAAAAGCATGCAGCATTTACTAAATGTTAGCTCTTATAAATTATCATGCCTAGCTTGACAGATGGCGCTTGATCACCTCCTACTCACATAATCTGAGTGCCAAGACTCTTAAGCAGGATGTGGATCTTAGTACCTGCCATTCAAACTGAAATATTAATGGCCACAAACACAAATCCCAATCTCAACTTACATTGGCAGCCAATCTGATGAGTGGCATTGAGCAGACGGACACAGGGAGCTGTTTTATTTAAGGGAATGTAGATCTTCCTCTCCACTGAGTTTCCCCTACACAAACCTAATCAGAGATAAAAGCATTAGAAGAAATTGAGAGACAGAAGTACGAGCCTCTATCATGTCATTGCTTGACTCATGGCTTGGGTAAATCATTCATTATCATACTTTGTAAAATGTGGCTAATGTCCATTCTTTTCACTTCTTGGACACACTGTTGGGAAAAACAAGTGCTCTACAGAGTATCTAGCTATGTGTGACAGAAGCTCATTAAACTTCACAAAGAGCAACCATCAAGATAAAAGAGAGAAAATTTGATTTGTCAAAGAAAAGCTGTTTGACTTTAGATGTGCCTGCTTCTAGTTGCGTAGGTTAATCCACTGCTGCTTTTCTATCCCGTATGTCTATTAATAGTTAGTAAAGGAGTGCTGGTCTAAGAAGATAGATTACCAAAACCAACCAATTAAAAAACCCAAGACTTTTTTCCAGAAATCTTAACAGAACTGCCACACACCTGTTTAGTTAATCTAACACCAGTGGGTCATTTGCGTGTACCTACAGTGTGGAGCAGCTATAGTTTCTCCCTTAGGGGGGTATCTTTAAAAACAATATGAATTTAGGAAAGGAAACATTCATTATATATATAGGCATGTTTGCATTTTAGGGCTTGACCACTTAGAAAGCCATACACCAAACAACAACAACAACAAAAACCCAGAAAAGTGTGTTAACCAAACACTTATGCACATTATAAAAGCCTAGAATCATTACTTCACGGTCTTAACAGTACTCATAGCCTACCTCAGTCTCACTTTACTTATGAAAGAAACTGAGGTAAGACACAGGGACACGAGTCTATGGTGGAATCAACAGGGCAAGAAATGAGAAGTCGACCTTTTCAGCACGGCACAACACACACAAAATAAGGCTGTTTTGGTCTCAAAAACCCTAAATGAGGGGAAGCAAGCGCAAGTTTCACACCTGTCCCTTTTGCTTGTGGGTGGGGTGGCTGGGACTGTGGGGAAAACGAGGCATCAGGATAAGGTGGGAGAGAATCCAGCTGGAAATCCAGGAAGAGGCCTGGAGAAGGGAATGAAGCGACACGACCCGCCGCGGGTTAGAAGGAATAAAGATCCAGGGAAAGGGGGGAACTTCTGTCGTGGGAACGAAAGAGAAAGAGATTTATAGGGTGGGGGGACAGAGGGGCAGCGGGGACCAGAAGGGAAATGCTGGCGCCTGCTGCTGGGCAGATCCGGAGGGTACCTCTTAGAGAACGCAGCTCGCTGGCGGGGAGGCCTCACCTGCCAGTAGTACGGAGAAACACAGAAGGCGAAAAAGACCCCGACTTCCCGGGTCAGCCTCAAAGCCGCCCCTAGCCGTGGCCATTTTGCCTCTCCACTGAGCAGAGCTTCAGTTCCTCTCCAGTCCGGTAGTGGTCTCTCTAGGCTACTACGAGTACCGTCTCCGTGGCAGCTCCAGAGACCGGAAGTTCGTTTCTGTGGAGCTTCCGGGAGCTGCGGTCGGGTGGCTGACGTGGAGGCACCCAAAGGGAAACCGGGAGTGGCAGGGCCCGGTAATCTGGCGTCGTAGCCAGAGGTCTGAAGGATGCTCACCAAATTCGAGACCAAGAGCGCGCGGGTCAAAGGTAGTGGAGGAGAAAAAGGGGAACATGGAGGTTGTATGTCGGGGGCGGCGCTGTCACAGGAGAAGAGAGAACGGGTGGACTTGTCGATGGAATTAGGCCCACCGGACAAAGCCGGAGGAAGACGCGAGGGAGGGAGGTTATGTTGGTGGGCATCTCTGCAGTCCTGTCTCCATGTGTCCCGGGGCTTTGATTTCCCCGCCCCGCAGGGAATCTCTTAGGCCCGCTCCCTGTTCTTTCCCTTCCCCTTCTCTCTTGGGAGCTGTGCTCCTGACTTATTTTTCTACTCCCAAGGCCCTGTCACCTTTTTGATGACAGCGTCGTATGGGGATTGAGTCTCACCTCTGTCACAGTAGCTTTTTCGGGAATGAGCACTGGCTACCAGTGCATCCGTTGGGCCTTTTTGCCTACTTGAAAATAGGGCATTGAGGAGTATATTCCCAAGAGAGATTGATAGGGTTGTCAGATAAAATATAAGACCCCTGTTTTATATTTGAATTTCAGATAAATGAGTAATATTTTAGTCATAATTTTTGTAGGAAAATGAGATTGCAGTAGTCTTTCAGACTGTCAAAGTGAGAAAAGCAGAGAAGTAAGATCTATTGAGACCTGTAAAAACATCTGGAATATGTAGTAAAGTGCAGCATATCACTATGCTGGCGTGGTGAAGTGATTTGGAACTTGTTCTTTGGAGTTAGATGGGCTTGATTTGGAATCCTGAAGCATCTACCAACAAGCTATCTGACCTTAGGCAACATCTCTAAGTCTCTATTTCTTCATCTTTAAAATAAGGGTATCTTGTATGTACATGTAAATAATGAATCATTTAAAAAAATAAAAAAATAAATTAAATTAAATAAGGGTATTAACATTCTCTTATATAGAGAATTAAAATGAAAGTATGTGGAAAGTGTATTATGGTGGCTGGCTAGACTCAGTAGCTTGAAAACTGGAGGCCATTATTAATATGATAGTTTCTAACTCTCATGGGAGTCATGAAGAGTACCATTAAGAATTGGGGGGGGGGTTGGATGGCTGATGGGGTGGCTCAAGTGGTAGAGTGCCTGCCTAGCAAGTGTGGGCCTTGAGTTCAAACCCCAGTACTGCTGAAAAAAAAAAAGAAAGAGTGTTAAATGTACATCATAAAGACAAAAAAAAAAAATCTGTGGGATAAACATAAATATTCCATTATTCCATAAATAATGAACATAGCTTCACCTCATAGTAATTAAAGAAATGCAGAAAACCATAATATTTTGGAGGAGGTCTTAGATTCATAAAACAAAACAACAACTGATAATTTCCTGTGTTAGTCAACACATCAAAAAGGGTGCCTTCATAAACTTGGTGAGACTGCATATTAATAGTGTTTTTACAATTAAATAATATCTATCAAAATGTTAAAGGTACAGTTCTTCTACCTTTCAGGTCTGTAGCCTAAGGCAGAACTAATGCAAATAGCCTAGATTATACATAGTAATAATATCTTCAGTAGGCCCTTCTGATAGCCAGAAACTAGAGGCAAAATTTAAATGCCATCTCAGAATAATTTTTTTTTCTTTGAGCCCAGGTTCTTACTTTATGGCCCAGGCTGGCGGTGAACTCACAGTCTCCTGCCTCAGTCTTACTAGAACTGAGATTACAGGTGTGTTGGTCACCACATTCAGCTTGTGTCCTAGTGAACGAATCCAGAACCTCGAGCTTGCTAGGCAAGTGCTTTACCACTGGGCCAAATTGCCAGCCCCAGAATAATTTAAAAATGTAGTACATTTGCTGGATGTGTGGCTTAAGTGGTGGAGCACCTGCTTAACAAGCTCAAAGTTCTGAGTTCAAACTCTAGTACTCCTCCTCAAAAAAATGCTGCCAAAAATATGGTGCACTTGTTCCTTGCAGTTGTTAAAAAAAGAATGAGATTATGGTTATATGTACTTAAATGAATGTAAAGAGATCCATATCTGCAAAGGGTCCCCTCAGGCCTTTGTCTAAGTACTAATCTGCACTTGAATGGGAGAAAACTGTCCAAAACGTAGAACCATTTAGAGCCTGTTGTAGTGTTGCATGACTTTAATTGCAACACTTAGGAGGTTGATCGTTGAGTTGGAACCAGCCTGGGCTGTTACATAGTAAGACCCTGTTTCCAAAAAAAACCCAACCAACCAAATAGAAAGAACTCTTGTAGAGGGTAGAACAGTCCCTGGGCTCACTAAGGACTAGAAATAGTTTGTGTTCCTACTAGCTAGAATGGAAAAATTTCCTGATATTAACAAAGCATCATACAGAAACCTCAGATGGGAATTGCAATAACAATAATTCCAAAGTAGATCTAGATTATAGGTACTGTGGACCCCCGTAACAAAACTGAAACCAAGCCTCAAAATGATCAACTGATTCTCACTAACTTAACTGCATCCTAGAACAAAGTCCAACATTTAAATGCAGATTTTCCCCCCTTCGGTGGGACTGGGATTAACATTTAAAGGAATATAACAAAAGCCCAGCACCTAACATAAAATTTACATTTGGCATCAGCATGTTGAATGAATAAGGGAACAAATGAGTCTATGATTAACCTGCTGTTCCTTTTTCATATCAGAATTGACAAAAGGTGATATAGACCTTGCTTAGTTCACCATAACATTTTCTGTTTTCTCTCCCCTTACCTCATCCCAGGACTCAGTTTTCATCCCAAAAGACCCTGGATCCTGACCAGTTTACACAATGGGGTCATCCAGTTGTGGGACTATCGGATGTGCACCCTTATTGACAAGTTTGATGAACATGATGGTAAGAGAGTTTCTAGGAGGAAGTTTAAAAACAAATATTTATTGTCATCTAGGATACTTAAACCTTGTTTGATATGAATTCCTTTAGAATTAAAGAATGTGGAAAAGATAAAACTGAAAAATCCTGACTAGGAATCACCTCAGAGATTAGAAAGAATAGCTTTCTCTAACACACATTGCTTGCCTTCTTCTCCAGGTCCAGTGAGAGGCATTGACTTCCATAAGCAGCAGCCACTGTTTGTCTCTGGAGGCGATGACTATAAGATTAAGGTACAGAGAGTCTATGAGAATAAAGGATAGAAGTTTATGGTAAGGTTTGGAAATTATGGAAAGGACTGAAAGGACAACTCATTCATAAGAGCTTAGGCTTTTAACGATATTATCCAGAGCACTTACCCAGCAAACATTCGGTGAGTGCTTACTGTGTACCAGACATTTTCCGTTTTTGGGAATTCAAAAATAAGAAGTGACTTTTGTTCTCAAGGAACTTTTATTCTAATAGAGGATATAAATATATACTCAAATTAATAGCATGAATAGTTTGGTGAGTGATAGAGTGAAAGAGAAATAGAAAAAAACAGCCCAGATACAGAGATGGGGATGATATAGCTGGATACATTTGAAAAACTCCAATTCATTTTGTAGGGCTAATACTTGGAGAAAAAGATGAGAGGGCCAGGTTGTGAGTACCTGTTTGCAGTACTTAGGAGTTCTCATGCAATTATACAGTTTTGGAGCCATTAAAGGGATTTAACTGTAGGAGAGATAGAAGATTTTTATGAGTAATTTGAAAAAGAAAAATTTGGGTCATTTAGGCAAGACTGGAGGCAGAGATACCAATTGGGAGACTATCATATAAATCCATGTGGCAGATGAACAGAGCCTGAGTTTAGGCAGTACTATTTGAAGTAGAAAAAGATTGATGTGAGTGCTTAAGGAAGTGAATCAGTAATTCTGTCGGAAGGATGATAAGGGGAAATCAATGAGATAAATTTACCATGTTTTCCCCCCACAGCTCTGAGTATCAAACCTAGAGCCTCACATACTCAGCAAGCACTCTACTACTGAGCTAGATCTCTATCCCTAATGAGATGACTTTCAGGTTTTTTAGTTGAGGTTACTGGGTAGAAATGATGAGTCCTTTTTGTTTGTTTTTGGTGGAGCTGGTGATTGAACCCAGGGGCTCTTGTGCATGCCAAACAAGCACTCTACCACTGAGTTACATCTCCAGTTCTAAAAAGGATGTTATTAACTAGAAAAGGAAAATTAAGAGGGGAAAAGTTTTCTGGAGTGTGAGAGAATGGGTAATGAATTCCATCTTGGCCCTGATGAGTGTGAGGTACCAGAAAAGTCTCCTGGAGGTATAATTGCATTGGTGGTATATTTGGGAATTGTCATCAGGAAGGAGGGAGATAAAGCAGAAGTAGTAGGTTTCACTCAGGAAATGGTGAATAAGAAGACCGTCATTTGAAAGAGAGAGGAAGTACAGTTATGGCAGTAAAGAGTCATTTGAAAGGTCAGAGATAAACCAAGAAGCAGGAATCTCTAGGATGCCAAGGAAGAAGAGAATTTGGGGAAAGAGAAAATGGTCAGAATAAGATCCAGACTAAGAAGTAATCTTTAGATTGCCAAATTAGGAGAACATTAGTGATCTTAGCATCTTAATGTTCGGTGAGGAAGCAGATGAAATCTAGGCAATTCTTTGAAGATTGACTGTAAAAAGGCAAAAGTTATAGCCAGTAATTTTGAGCCTATGAAAATAAATAAAAGTTTGCTCTGTTTACTTCCGCAAGTCATTTTTGTTAAGTCTGTATACAATAGTGCCAGTCAGATTTACTTCATAAAAAAGGTGAAATTGGGCTGAGGGCATGGCTCAGGTGGTAGATTGCTTACTAGAACATGAGGCCCCAGGTTCAATGCCTAGTACCATCAGGGAAAAAAAAAAGTGAAGTGTTTTTTCATAAGCTACTTCAGGAAATTATATGTTGTAGATTGTACAGCAGTACTTAGGTGACAGGAGTGAAAAGTGACCTGCCTATGAAGAAATGCAATATAGAATTCTAGTGGAGTCAGGTGTGGTGGTGGTTCATGCCTGTAATCCCAGCTAGTCAGGAGTCTGAGACAGTAGGATCTTAAGTTGGAAGCCAGCCTGAGTAACATAGCAAAATACTAAAATTAAAAAAACTTCCCTAAGAAAGAAACAGCTTTCCATAATTTTATCTTTTGCTTTTCCTAACCTTATCCCACCAAACTCCCCAGCCCTGACATTGTTTAGCTTACCTATGTTTTTATCCACAAAGGATGAAAGGAGAAAAAGACAAACGTTCTCTCTCCAATCTTAAACAAGACTCCTTACTAAGCTTCCTATATATTCAGAAATGTCAAAATATAAATTCAGTCTTGTTCATTGAGAAACCTGAGCCTTTTAGAAGCTCACAACACTTACATACTATTCCTTAGCTGGATTTCTGTCTTTGCAGGTTTGGAATTACAAACTGCGGCGATGTCTTTTTACATTGCTTGGTCACTTGGATTATATTCGCACAACATTTTTTCATCATGTAAGTAGCCATCATGGCTCTAGTTATGGAGCATATTTCTCCATAGTAATCTTCTACTTGATCCTCAAGAACCCATGGTTTGAAACAGAATTATGTTTTTGGTGCAGCTTTTCTAGGACCTGTAGGGTATTCGCTTTTTTGCTTTGTTTCCTTCTGTAAAAGGAAGCACTCAGGATATACAGAATTTAATTGGATCCAGTGGACTCTCTGAGGAAGTCATTGTTTCTCTGTATGGAAGTAGGTTTGCTGAGCTACTAAACAAAAGTTTGTAGGCTAATGCCATTTGGGGCAATATTAGTAAGTAGTGGGTATGCCTGGAAGAAGGTTAAGCTAAGATGCCATTTCGATGAGCTAATAAACATTTTGAATATTAACAATCATATCCCCCTGTCCTAAGATTTGGGAGTCTGGTGGAGCTTCCTCCCTTAGCCAAGCTTATTGCCTTCTTTGATCTGTCAGATATAGTGGCTTTAGAGAGTGAGTTACAAATTAGAGACTCCCAACCTCTTAGTCCACTCTTCCCTGCTCGGGTCTCCCTCTAATTCAATGCTATTAGAATTAAGTTAGTCTATTCTTTGGTTCTCAGTAAATTAAGTCTCTTGAACAGAATTAGAAAGAATATAATGAAATAAATATTTGCTGATCGAGTATACTTTATTTCCTTTTTTAAAATTCAAAAACTTTAGAGCGTGACTGAGAAAACTACAACTAAAACATGAAAATTATAGCTAGTCAATGAGATAATCTGTTAGGAAATATTTGTCATTACCACAAAGCACTTGCTGAAGACCATTGCCTAGAGTAAGTTGCTGTCTACCTAGAAAGTTAATAAAGACCTTATTTTCTTTTATTCTTTTCAGTTCAATAAATATGTATGTGCTTTGTACTTGCTAAGCTCTATGCTACACACTGGAGATACAGCCTTGAAAGGGAAATACTGGGTGTGATAGTATGCCAGAAATCTCAGCAGTCCCAGTGCTTGAGAGATGGAATCTATATAACCAATTCAAAGTCAGCCTAAGCTACATGGCCAGACTCTGTCTCAGAAGACTAAGCACTGGAGATGTAGCTCAGCAATAGAGTGCTTGCCTAGCATGTGCAAGGCCCTGGGTTCAATCCCCAGTGAGAGAGAGACAGAGACAGATGTCTTATCAGGCATGGTAGCACACATCTGTAATACCAGCACTCAGGAGTCTGAGGTATGAGGATCATGAGTTCATTGCCAGCCTAGGCTACATGGCAAGTTCCAGGTCATCCTGGGATATAAAAAAACAACCAAAAATACCAGGTGTCAGTTGCTCATGCCTTTAATCCTAGCTACTTAGGAGGCTGGGATCACAGTTCGAGGCCAGCCTGCGCAAATAGTTTGCAAGACCCCATGTCAAAAAAAAAAAAAAAAGATATAAATACATATACAAATATTTTTGAACTTTTTTAACATTTTATTGTTTTTGCATATACTTACATGTGTATACATATTTGGACCACCTCCTTCCACATATGCAAATATTTAAAAGTAAATGTAAATATATTTTCTGCTATCTGAGAGTTTATTACTCTATCTGGCTTCTGTTCTTGAATCTTAGAGGTAAAAGTGCCCAAGTTGGGAGAAGCTGGTAGAGTGGTAGGAGGAAAAGACAGCTAGCTGTTATCAGAAGTAGCAGCCCCTTTGCTAACATAGCTGAGGTGGCAGGTAATAGAACACTTCCCCCAAAGTTAAAAGCAGTTACAGAAGCCTGACAGAACATGTTTGCTTGACGTTCATAGACTGTTTCTGAAATACCTTTTAGGAGTATCCTTGGATTCTCAGTGCCTCAGATGATCAGACCATTCGCGTATGGAACTGGCAGTCCAGAACCTGTGTCTGGTAAAGTTGGAGGCAGAAGCCTCGAACAGTCTTAATTCTTCTGAGTTTTTTATAATTAGCCTCTCTTCAGAACAGTCATCTCCCTTCCACAATGGGCCATATTTGCTGATTAATTACTGTCTATATTTGTAGGATGCTCTTAAATACAAAGTAACAAATGTAGAGATAATCTCATTAGTAATGTGTAAATCTTGATTTTCTCATAATTTCTCAGCAGGGAGAAGTCATATAGCAATGCTTTTAGAAAAAGAACTTTTAGTTGTTTTTCAGTTCTGTTCTCATAAAACCTGAATCAGATCTAGACCCAAATCAGAATCTAGATAATAAGTCTTACTTTGTATTTGGGGCTGGAGCTCTAATAGAATTTCTGTGCAAAGTTAAGGACCATTTAAAACAATGGATACCCTGCTAATAGCCTATCAAATGGTTTCCAGTATGAATTACTAAGATTCCATTTATTATTTTCATATTTTAATGTCGTTAATCTGGGAGAGCTATATAATCTCAGTTCTCCTAAAATTAATAATATTTAAATACTAAAGAATTGGAGTCAAGAAGAGAACTATTGCTAAAACAGGTGGCGTTGCTTATTATTAGTTCAGAATTGTTAGGATGAACTATGTTTTGCCCTCATAAAAGTATAATTGGACAAGCATCTATTGAATATGAAGAAAGGTGGCCACTCGTGATGTCTCATGGCTATCATCCCAGCAACTGTAGAGGCAGAAATTGAGAGAATTGTGGTTTGAGGCCAGCCTGGGCAAAAAAAAAGTTAGTGAGATTCCATTGCAACAAATAAGCCAGTGTGGTAGTACTTGACTAAAATTCCATCTGTGCCAGAGGCCATTGATAGGAAGATCACAACCTGAAACTGGCCCGGTGGCAAAAATAGCAGACCTATCTGAAAAATAACTAAAGCAAAAAAGGGCTGGGAGTATGAACAATAAGCTTGATGTCCTGAGTTCAAACCCCAGTATGGCCAAAAAAAAGAAACAGCAAAAAGTATTTAGCTTTGAAGTTTGTTGATTTCCACCTCTAATTTAGTATTGTCTTTTTTTTCTTCCCTGCAGTGTGTTAACGGGCCACAACCATTATGTAATGTGTGCTCAGTTCCACCCCTCAGAAGACCTGGTTGTATCAGCTAGCCTGGACCAGACTGTACGCGTTTGGGATATTTCTGGTGAGCTGCCCAAGTTCAGGGGACCAATCTAGTCATGTCTGGCATAAAACTGCAATTGCTTAAAACAGCAAAGGTGGTTGGTTTAGTATAGAAAACCTTACGGTATTCCATTCACATATAATAGCATCTTTGCTTCTGAGGGTATTGGATCTGCTTTGTCAGATCTTCGTGTTAGAAGTATTTTCTATGAAAAGTGGTTACTCTAGAAAATTCATTTGATTTGAATAAATTTTAACTTAGTTAAAATTTTTAGCTAAAAATCTATATACTTTTTGGGTATTTGATTAAGAGTCAAGGTTTGCACTCAAATATAAAAGAATATATCTTTAGAAAAAGAAATTTGAGAATAGATTAATGCAGGGAAAGAGGATTCATAGATTCTGTTACCTTATATAGAATAAGAAAATCCTTTTATTAGATTTTTTTCTAGTGTATGGAGCATGGGATGGGAGGGAGTTTATGACTTTTATGTCTAGAATATCTTTTAATAGTCAGACAGAATTCTAAGACCCAAAATAATTTTTAGGTTTTGAAGAATTAGCATAATTCTTTCATAGTTTATATATCATGATTTTAGACAAGGATTTAGATGCTATATAGAGAAGATCAAAGAAGTTGCTAACTAGAAAATTTAAAGACTATACCTATGAGATGGAAGAGCTTTGTGTTGGAATAAGGAAATGAGACTCTAAATGATTCGACTCTGCCCAGTTACATTTCCTTATCACTTACTGCATTATCTCTACTTGTTGCCTTAGAAATTCTTGGAGATTGAGTTCTCTGAAAAGTCAGTGGCTAGACTACAAACTAGTGTTTCATTCTATAAAAGGAAAACCCTTACAGGTGTTTGCCCAGTTTTTTTTGTAATAAAGGAGTCACCCTTCTACATTGTAAGTTACAGTGATAACTTTGTCCATCTCCCTTACAGCGTTGTAGACTGGGGAATATGGTACTTGGTGTTCATTAATGAACAAGTTGAAAATTTGGATTCCTGGATACAACATCTGGGATATTGCAATAGCAGTTAAAATTCATGTAACATAGAAACAAGGCAAGTACAGAGAGGGCAGTTGGAGAGTAGAACCTCTACCTCATGCTGTCTTTAATTTTGAAAGACTTAGAATTAAAAGGCAGAGTGTAAACAAGATTGTACTGGAGATAGGGCAGTTGTACTCTAGGGCTGAGCCATTGCAGTTTTTCGTCAGACGACTAGGCTTTTGGATGTACACCCAGATGTGACCAGCCATGCCAGCAGCAGGAGCTAGGCATAGGCACTACGAGCCTGTGCCCTCTCCTCACTGCAGTACCAGGGAGCTTAGCATCTACTCTTCTAGTAACCTAGCTTTGGCTTCCCATGGGTTTTCACTGTGCACACATTCAAAGCACCCTCTCTGTCTCAGGATATAGGGGCCTAATAGGGTGGATGCTAGCAGGCTGTTCCAGTTGTTTAGAGCAATTGTTTAGAATAACCTTTCCAACCCAAATTCTGTGAGATAATTAAATTCTACAAAAAGTACTTTAAGTGACTATTTTCTCATTTCTTCCAGGAAAAGTATATAGGTAATACTACCTTAGATTATAGAGAAGTTAATTTGTTTCATACCTAAACAGATGTTTTTAGGTATTAGGCTTAATTCTTCCCCAGAATACTGGGTTGAGAAAGGCATTATATTGCTCTACTCTAAGAGTACTATTTGTGCTACCTGATCCTAGGATAGCGGGTTCTTTGTAGTCTAGCTAAAGCAATTTAAGAAATCAATTAAAAAATTAATTAAAAAAAAAAAACCAAAAAAGTTGGGGGCAGTTAGGTGGTTGGGTTCTCATTGTTGATCGTGAAATTTTCAAGGCAAGAAATACTTTTCTTCACCTTTTGTAGGTAGAAAATATGTTTGCATCAAATTTAAGGACCCTAGATCAAAGGAGAGAGGAGACGGTATAACCTGTCAGTGGGGCTTATACTTGTGTTTGAATGTGTGAATTGCATGGATTACTACATAATAAGATTACACTGCTATACTTTGCATATTGTAGTGAGAATTTTGTGCTACCTTGCTGTACTAATGTTAGTGCTCTCTTTATCATTTCTAAATGTTTTTCTGTGCTCACAACTCTCTTGGCTTCAAGTAAACCCTTAACCAGAGTGGAAGGAGATGCTTTGGTATTTAATCAAGTAGAAGGAGCTTTTGGGTTAGACTTTTATATTTACTCTTTCCTTTTCTAGAAAGCAGCATACTCTTCAGTAGGACTCATTTTTGCTTTGGTACTAATAAGTCTGAATACAGGAAGAGTAATTGACTTTTAGATCTGTTAGGGACCAGGACTAATATTTTTAAAAGAGAAAGTTCTGAGTTCTGGGGTTTCAACTCAGGGCTTTGCACTTGCTAGGCAGGCACTTACTGCTTGAGCCCCTCCACCAGTGAAAATTTACTTCTGAATAAGGGAATGTCTAACCGCTTATTTAGAGGACTGGTGAAAATTCTGATTATTTTCACTGTCTCTTTATTTATTTTTTAAGGAATATTTTCTAAGCTGGTAGGTAAGCACCAAGAGAATATAGAAATCTTTAAAGGAAAAGCTGCCTCTTGATACTTATCCCATGAGAATTGAGCCACATGAAGCTTAGCATAGCCTAAATCTTTTGTGTTAGGCTGGTAAAAACTATTTGTTTAAAAGGGAATATATTTAAAACCTAGCTGTGGAAAATAGGTTACTTTTTTAACTTAAGCTTCCAAATAAACTGACAAATTCTTTTAATGTGCTTACAGCTTTGCATGTCAAGCCCATGTAATTCAGGCTCATTCTTTGAAATGACCACTAAAAAAGTATTAATATGCTGCCAAATCCTGTTCTCATCCCTCTCTTTTTACTGCTTCCCCTGGTTCCCATTGGGAGGCATATATAAACTGGTCCATTCTGAGAGTGTTCTCTTTTCCCTCTGGATTTGGGTAGCTGCTGTAGAAATTTTCCATCTGTCGTTCAGTCCTAGTGAGTAGCTTGTCGAAGCCTCAAATATTTCTTCTGTAAGTGTCTTTTCACTGCCTGTCACTATTCATCTGTGTGTTTCGCCCTTCCCCTTTTCCTGAATCATTACAGGCAAGTGCCACAAAGGCTTCCATTCTGTCATACAGCTTTCCTTTTAATGTGTTCGTTGAAGCTTATTGGAGGTGAAGTTCCTCACAGCTGTCTGTCTTTGTATCTTTCTTTCAATTTGTTTCATACACCAGAATCACTAGAAAAAGTTGACAGATCCTATTAAAGGGATAAGCAAAATAAGTGAAAGGAGGCATCCTTGTGATAATGAATTTATGAAGTTTGAGGGCAGTACATTTTTTTTTTTTTTTAAGCATTAGCTTTATGTCTCTAAACCTATTGTCTAAATGCTCATTTTGGACAGGAGACTAGGTAATTAAAACTGTCATGGCTATTTAAGCTCTTGCTTCCCCAGTGCTGATGTTTAAGGTCCTATTATACAGAAAATATATAATGTGATTTTAAAACAATGAATATAAATAATCATTAAACCTATCTTTACTTATTTCCCTACAGATGCCAAATTTTTAGATTTGAAGCTGTTTTAGTTTTTATTTTCAATGGTAGGTTTTATTATCATCGAAATATATAAACCCAATAGTCTTTTATAGTTTTGTTTTGTTTTACAAATGCAAGGTAATTTCATCCTCTACTTTCTCCCCCAAATACTTCAAAAGATAGTATTTTAGTTCCAGTTTTGTTTTCTTATTATAAACTGGTACAATTTTACATGCTTACCTATCTCAAAGGGTTGTTATCAAAATCAAATCATGTAACGTATGGTAAAGTGCTTTGAAAACCACAAGCATTATATCAAATGTAAGGTAGTACTGTTACATAATTATAATAGTCAACTTTTAAAGATGGGTATAAATGTGAATCCTCTACAATAAACCCTTCTTATCCTGGTGTCTTTTGTCTATTGTTTTCAAATGATGGGCTAATTACTCCCACTGAAGCCAGCTTTCAGAGATTTTAATGGCAAAATCAGTCTTGTAAACAAGAAATTGAAAGGCTATGACAGTTTTAATTGTCCTTTGCCTTGTCCAAGAGTCAAGTAGAAAGTATAGCTATACTTTTTCTCATGGTATCTTTTTATATACTGTGTTTTTTTATAGCATTGTTTTATAGTATCTTCTAAATCAGATGGCTGTTTTGTACTTGATAGCTCTAGTTTCTCTGACCCATTTGTGACATTCCTATAAGTTTCATCAAAGTTTCCAATTTGAGTAACCTTCAACCATGGTCAACCCCCCAATGGCTTTTCTTTTAAAATCTTTTGAGATGATGGAAAACATTGTTACAGATTTCATAAAGTTGAAAGGGGTAATAAAATGTTTACCATTTGAGACCACATTTCAAGAACATTTAAGAATGGAAAATGGGCATTACCTGAAATAGACAGCTCTTGAGGTAAGATTTGTTGAAGAAGTTAGTTTTGTCAGAAGTTCAGGTTGGCCCATAGTAGTGAGTCTATTAAGTGTTGAGAGACAAGATAGTATAGGTAGGAGCTCTTTAACTCTTTCTTTCTTCAGTCTCTCTACATTTCTTTTCTCCTTTTTCATTTGATGTTGGTCTGTCACTGTGCCTCTCTGTGCTTTTTCTATTGTGGTTTTTTTTTTTTGTTGGTGGTGGTGGTGTTTTTTGTTTTTTTTTAATAACACTACATTTGCATCTTTCATCCCACTCCTTACTCCTTTAAAGGTCTAAGGAAAAAAAACTTGTCTCCTGGAGCAGTGGAGTCGGATGTGAGAGGAATAACTGGGGTTGATCTATTTGGAACTACGGATGCGGTGGTGAAGCACGTACTAGAGGTACCTATTTCTACAGCCAGTGGATGGTATGGGCTGAATTGTAATAGAAAGTCTCAACATGTTGTCCATTTTTTCATTCCTTTAACAAATATTTATTAAGTGCCAGGGACTATTTGCGGCATAGGGAATAGAGCTGTGAATCAGCCAACAAAGAAATAAAGGTGACATGTCCCCTCAGAGACAGTCATGTCACCTATAAATCCAGTGGGGAGAAAGGAAGAAAGCTGGGCCTAGGTTCTTTGACCATCCCAAAGCAGAACCCATTCTCAAGCCTCTTGAGAGAAATTTAATCAAAAAGTTACTGACAGCCTACCTTGTAGCCAGGTGCCAGTGGCTCATGCTTATAATCCTAGTTACTCAGCAAGCAGAGATCTGAGGGGAAATAGTTTGAGAGACTCTATTTTGAAAAAAATCCATCACAAAAAAGGGCTGGCAGAGTAGCTAAGGTGGTAAGGGTACCTACCTAGCAAGTATGCAGGCCCTGAGTTCAAACTCCAGTGCTGCCAAAAATAGAAAACAACCTTGTATAAATAACTTGTTCATGGTAGAAAAATAGAAAAAAATAAGGGTAAGAAATAAGTTTTTCTAAATTTAAAAAAAAATGTAATCCTCACAGCTATCTGCTGAAGTAGATACTATTAACCTCATTTTACAGATGAAAAAAATTGAGATTTAGAGAAATTAAGCAGTTTACCAAAGTCCACATGTATTTAGTAAATGGAAAGACTAGGACATTTACTTGGATCTGTCTGACTGACTCCCAAACACAGGTGCTTTTAAGCAATCCATGATACCTGTCAAAAAAAATTTCTAAATCAAAACTGCCTTATCCATGATTTTGTCACAGTATGAAATAAGGTGTAGGATATCTTTAAATCAGCAGTTCTTAAACTTTTTGGTCTGATGATCTCTTTATACTCTTAAAATTTACTGAGGATGCAGAGTTTTTGTTTATGTGGATTATATCTGTCAATTTTAATTATATTTTAAATGAAAACAGAACATTTCATTTTGGGGGCACTGGAAATTGAACCCAGGGCCTTGCACATACTAAACACATGCTCTATCACTGAGCTATAATAACCCCAGCCTAAAACCAAGAACTTGTTAAGACATGAAATATATTAGTGTACATTCCATTAGCTGTCAGAACACTGACATCATCACCCATCATGTACTCTCTCAGGACAGTAAGAATGAGAAGGCAAATAAAGTCTTAGTATGATTATGAAAATAGTTTTGATCTTGCATAATTCCTAAAACAATTTTGGGGGTCCTCCAAAGCATAGCAGACCAAGAGAACTTCTGCATTAATTTATAAACAGATCTTTATACTTGAGATGTTAATAAATATTTGGAGAAATAAGATATTTGTAGACCATAAAAAACAAGACAGGATATCCTAAATGCAAATGAGTTTGAATTTTGGGATAGAATATTTGGAAATTCCCCTGAGAATTTGGAGTGATGATGGGTAGATTGACATGGTAATTTTAATGTTCAAAACTTTATAGTGAACCAAGTGTGGTGGCACACACCTATAATTCCAATGCTCAGGAAGCTGCGACAGAATGATTGAGAGTTCAAGGCCAGTTGGGGTACATAGTGAAACCCTGTGTAACTCCTCATACTCTCTCAGAAAACAAAAAACAGGGGGGAGAGGGAGGGGGCTGG